TCAGTGAATGAGTATCTTCAGTTTTAGAAGTCAGAACCGCCTATTAATCACGCAGGAATAAAATACGTGCGGACTCTTTTCTGTACTTGCGAGGGCCAATGAAATTATCGTATGTTTGAAAATTTTGGCGGTCTTTGTAAAGTTTCGCTAAAGAAACAATTTTCAGTTCATTTAAATAAGTTGTGCATGATAATTTCACAAGACGTAAAATATTTCTAGTTTAGAATACGCGATACTGCAATTATCGTTTCACAAACAAGGGACTACGTTTTCTTTTTGCCTTCCTCCGCGTGGGGTGAATTTCCCGTTCCCTCGGGATGCGCGGAAGCGCGCGTATCATGAACTCTTTCCCTCCGGGTTTTCGGGAAGTGCGTTTGTGTCCGCCCGTCCTCCCGAGGCGAAATTCAACGTCGCGACATCGTTTGACATCGCGTACCAGAGGTTACGCTGCGATGCCAAACGTTTGTTTGGTTACGACTTGCCCCAACCGCAAATCAAAGAACGCCCGAAAAGGCCTGCGTTTCGTCGTCCTGCCGAAAGATGAACCTCGGAGAAGCACGTGGTTACGTCGCGCCGGCCGCCAAGACGACACCCAGAACTTGCCTATGACGCCCCGTTTTTGTCACGACCACTTCGACCAAAGTGAGTTCTTCTGCGCGGAGGACACGGGTCGTTCAGAGCTTCGATGGAACGCGATGCCGACGCTTCTGCTTCCAGTCGAGGACGTGATCGAGGCATCTCCGCTGAAGCGCCAGAAAGTCGTGGTAAGTTAGTTTTCTTTTTTTCGCGGCATAGCTTTTGTGGGGAGTTCCGAAAATCTTAGAAGCCACGTGTTCGGAACAAGTTGCAAGACGAATTGCGCGTGCACGCGAAGCTTATGAGCAGGAGCTGTCCACGTAAAGGGATTTATTTGGACAGTGACCGAACACGGACGTACCGATACCCACGAAAAGTGCAAGCGATACGTAATGTATAATAATAGATAATCCCAGTGCCAGTAGTGTCGTCAAGATCAGTTATTTCCTGTTTTATGGAGGGTTAGTCTCAATATTTCGGACCCCGGAAGGTCGCAGCCTAATTTTGTTTTCACAAGCAACAGTAATGCCGTTACTGTGCACACTGATCCGTCGGCACCAGATGAAATAGAACAGGAGCGCGTGAGCGTCTTTTCACGGTGGTCTTTGGCGAAATAAGGGTGGGTGGAATATATACGGAGTGCAAGTGCGTCTACTGTTCGCGTATCTCATGCGTTCGTTTACAACCGACATGTGCCCACGTGCTCTTGTTTGCCATCTTAGATCAACCAGTGGCAGCGCGTACCTGGCTGCTTCGTAAACGTGCGTTTCTTGCGTATTCTCTAAATTGCGCGTTGATTGGCACGTTGTTTATGCGTATTTTTGTTTTCCCGGAAGCTCGTACAAACTCTCTCCTACGCGAAAGGCGCATTTTCGTTCACTTGCACGCCGTATTATGCGCTGCTTTGTTTCTATTCTTTTGGTCCCGATAGTACATGTTGCGCGTTGAAAAATAGAAGGAAATGATTGGGTTACAAAGATGTAGGAAATGCAAGACGATTTTTAATTCAGAAAATTGCCCTCCCCCCCTTACTTTTACTGCTTGCCGAGCTTGTACCATTGCAAACTGTTACGAGTAATGAAAATCATGTGTGCAGAACATATCCCAAGAACTAGGCAGATGATGCATAATACCACTGTGTCACCATGAGATTCAATAAATAAATAATCATCTTTCTTGAAACAACTCTTCCGCAGGGCAACGACACTGGTGCCACCAGTCGGGTACTAGTACCTTCTAGTAGTCCTGAGCATCAGGACAATGGTGCTGTGGAGCCTGCCACAACAGGTCAAGGTGCTCGTAAGTACTTTCGGAAATCAGCGTGCATATAGAGGTTACAAGTCTGTAATTTCTAATTGAAGCAGTGACAAACACCCTTGCTGTGGTAGCAGCTGCACCACCAGTAGCTGCACCACCAGCAGCTGTACCACCAGCGACAGCCATTGCCATGGAGGAGGCAGTTACACCACCAGTAGCTGCACTACCAGCAGCTGCACCACCAGCGTCAAATCTTACTGTGAAGAAAAAGCTGAACGCAGCACGAAAACGAGCTGGATGTCAACCGCTAGAAGAGTGGACGCAGGCGACCACCAACCACATGTACTGGTCTGCCATGGCTGCGGGAGGCAACAGGGAGCTGCTCGTCGAGATCTGGCTGAGCATGCAGAACCACGTCATCGACAAGCACACTGGTCACGGGGGCAGCTACACGCGGTGTGTGCACAACGAAATTCTCGAAGCCACAAAAATGTGGATGGATCCCAGTAAGTTATTGCCTTCATAGCCTAGTTTGCTTTTCCTAAACCACATTCTTTCTTCAGACTCCCCGGCCTACAGTCACTACAAGCAGATCACTGGGAACAAGCGCCTCCTGAAGGACCTGGCCCAGATGTCCCCCCACGGCCAGACATTCGCCCTGGAATCCTTCCACAGCGTCCTCATTGACTTCGCTCCCAAGTCCCGGGCATTCACTCCAGAAGGCATGCGTGCAAGGTAATATTATGATCAAGCTGCATTAATGTTTAATCAGTTTGCATATAATCGTTTATCACCTGAACCTACTACGACCTGACTTAGTCCTTTTCCCCAACGACTAGATATTGGTCTCTCAAAGTACAAGAGAAACGGTCGAATGACAATTATTATTGCAAACATCATCCCTAATAAAACACCATTTCACTGCAGGACTCGAGTGGCAATCTTGCATTTCAATGAGAACGCTGATCGCTGCCAAGCTGAGACACAAGAGGGCAAGCCACGCTGGGCGGTGAAAACATCCAAAGCACGCAAGGGCCACCACACAGCTTGTCCCGTCAAGACAGCACCCACCTACAGTAAGTGTGGCATTCATTTTATGGTCGTTGACTTGCTCGGTCATTTGATAAAGTGAAAAAAAAAAGAACCTTCAATTCCAGGCTACGTTCACAAGCTCGTAGAGGAGGTGATCGCAATCAATAGTCGATGGCGGTGTCTTGCTACTGCGGCGAAGGCCAGCACAAACATCTTTCCGGCGCCCATGACTACGGCCTTTGCCAGGCCTTCAAAGGAGGAGTTAGTGGAAGCACGGAGGTCCCGCTTCGGCCGTACTCTGCAGTAAGGGCACTCTCTAAACTCATGTTTCATTTCCGCAGCCTGAACGAAGTATACCTGCCAGTTAAAATGAGCGTCCTAGTACATCAATGACTCTACTTTCACAGGACTCCCTGAACATCGCCATGCCCTCCATGCAGCCTGCCATCTCATCCTCAAAGCCAGTGGTAAGTGTGGCTGCAACGAAGCGATAACCGGTTTATAAATACGCAACCTTTTCTCTACAGAAATTCCCCGGACAGTACAAAGTCCACTCATTCGTCCCGCAGTCTCGTCATAAAAGCCAGCAGTAAGTGTGGCCGCTGCACGATGCTAGCTAGCAGTTCTGTAACTACCCAACCTTTTCTCTACAGAAATGCCCCAGGCAGTACAAAGTCCACTCAATCGTCCCGCAGTCTCGTCATAAAAGCCAGCAGTAAGTGTGGCCGCTGCACGATGCTAGCAATTCTGTAACTACCCAACCTTTTCTCTACAGAAATGCCCCAGGCAGTACAAAGTCCACCCAATCGTCCCGCAGTCTCGTCATAAAAGCCAGCAGTAAGTGTGGCCGCTGCACGATGCTAGCAGTTCTGTAACTACCCAACCTTTTCTCTACAGAAATGCCCCAGGCAGTACAAAGTCCACTCATTCGTCCCGCAGTCTCGTCATAAAAGCCAGCAGTAAGTGTGGCTGCTGCACGATGCTAGCAGTTCTGTAACTACGCAACCTTTTCTCTACAGAAATGCCCCGGGCAGTACAAAGTCCACTCATTCGTCCCGCAGTCTCGTCATAAAAGCCAGCAGTAAGTGTGGCCGCTGCACGATGCTAGCAGTTCTGTAACTACGCAACCTTTTCTCTACAGAAATGCCCCAGGCAGTACAAAGTCCACTCATTCGTCCCGCAGTCTCGTCATAAAAGCCAGCAGTAAGTGTGGCCGCTGCACGATGCTAGCAGTTCTGTAACTACGCAACCTTTTCTCTACAGAAATGCCCCAGGCAGTACAAAGTCCACTCATTCGTCCCGCAGTCTCGTCATAAAAGCCAGCAGTAAGTGTGGCCGCTGCACGATGCTAGCAGTTCTGTAACTACGCAACCTTTTCTCTACAGAAATGCCCCAGGCAGTACAAAGTCCACTCATTCGTCCCGCAGTCTCGTCATAAAAGCCAGCAGTAAGTGTGGCCGCTGCACGATGCTAGCAGTTCTGTAACTACGCAACCTTTTCTCTACAGAAATGCCCCAGGCAGTACAAAGTCCACTCATTCGTCCCGCAGTCTCGTCATAAAAGCCAGCAGTAAGTGTGGCCGCTGCACGATGCTAGCAGTTCTGTAACTACGCAACCTTTTCTCTACAGAAATGCCCCAGGCAGTACAAAGTCCACTCATTCGTCCCGCAGTCTCGTCATAAAAGCCAGCAGTAAGTGTGGCCGCTGCACGATGCTAGCAGTTCTGTAACTACGCAGTCTTTTCTCTACAGAAATGCCCCAGGCAGTACAAAGTCCACTCATTCGTCCCGCAGTCTCGTCATAAAAGCCAGCAGTAAGTGTGGCCGCTGCACGATGCTAGCAGTTCTGTAACTACGCAACCTTTTCTCTACAGAAATGCCCCAGGCAGTACAAAGTCCACTCATTCGTCCCGCAGTCTCGTCATAAAAGCCAGCAGTAAGTGTGGCCGCTGCAAGATGCTAGCAGTTCTGTAACTACGCAACCTTTTCTCTACAGAAATGCCCCAGGCAGGACAAAGTCCACTCATTCGTCCCGCAGTCTCGTCATAAAAGCCAGCAGTAAGTGTGGCCGCTGCACGATGCTAGCAGTTCTGTAACTACGCAACCTTTTCTCTACAGAAATGCCCCAGGCAGTACAAAGTCCACTCAATCGTCCCGCAGTCTCGTCATGAAAGCCAGCAGTAAGTGTGGCCGCTGCACGATGCTAGCAGTCCTGTAACCACGCCACTTTTTCTCTACAAAAATGCCCCGGGCAGTAAGTTTGGCTGCAGCAAAGGGTGAACCAGCTTATAAAGAAGCAAGTTTGTTTTACAACACTTGCACCAGGTGAGCACTACCAGGAAAGAATGGCCAATCCTGAAACCAGAGACCTGCAGTAAGGATATGTGTTGCTTTGCAATCATTTTTAAGTAGAATTGAGACCTATTCCAACATTTGGGTTTGGATTTCAGGACCACGAGAGATGCAAGCTTTGACGACTGATATCACCTGCCAGTGTGGATGCTAGAGGACAAGGAACACCAGCGAGCAAAGAAAAATATATCAGGAGGCCTCCATTTTTCAATATTTGTTAGCAAGGAGTGAGGCGTAACATTTATTTGAGAAAGTCTGGTCAGTATATTGTCTTCGGTGCAGCTACATTAGGGAAGTCAAGATAATCAGGACCCTATACTTACGAGTGGGCTACCATCTCACGCACTGTTCATAATGTGACCTCGACCGGAGTGTGACATTGACAACCAAGTAGAAGGACAGGGTCTGTCATTGCATGCCAGGAATTTTCAACATTGTCAAAGGAAAAATAGTAGGTTTACTGAAAGTGTAATGTATATTCAGTTGAAGCACACTAATGAACGTGTTCATGGCACGTTTCTTTTTTATAATTGAAGCATCTAATACCCTGGCGTTGATTTTCCATTTCATGTGCTGGCAAGCTGACAGGTTGAAGAGGAGTTACCACGATTACAGCACTGCTCGCCTGCGACTTTTTTAATAAATGGGGTTTTCAGCCAGGAGGTAGACTGGCAATGCTGAGTAAAGTTGTGCATAACTCGGATCACTCAGAGTTATTTTTAATGATATCCAAGCAGTACTGCCAGTCTACACCACGGTTTTCCCCCATCTGAATCATTCTCTTGTTTCACCTTTGTGCGATATCTCTCCTGTGTAGACCGGGAGGTGCACTGCACTCCAGATAGTTATAAATAAATGTTTGGAATAACTTTTCTGTTTCACATGACTCATCAAGAGAAGGTGGAAGCAGATAGAATGTAACCTAAAAATAACCTGTAGGATCCGGTGCATCGGGCATAAAAAATGGATAGAGGGCATTTTCTGCCAATAAAGGAATGGTGAAATCATATTAAAAAAATTGCGTCATGATTGTGCCCTGCAAATAAGCAAGTAGGTCTCGATGTACACGGTTGTCCACTGTTGGGGTGCACACGGCACTGCGTGGCTGATGCTCGGTGGAGCGCCGCAGTTGGCTGCCTTGTGAATTGGGGCCGATTAGAGATAACCATTGTCCAAGCCTTTGCTGCGTCGTCTGCTACATAAGCAACCGACGCGGCAATTACTTCGCTATGTGGCAAAGTAATTTTTTCTTGTGCGGGACACTTGCTGTGTGCCGGCTGGTTTACCTTTCTCAGAGGAACAAGTTGTGCAGAGCACTTGCAGATCAAAGTTTCTGAGTATCATGTGACCCCAAGGATGTAAGAACAGTGCTTGCTTCGCCTCAGAACATGGCCGCTGTGCCGACACTGTAGCAGATCACGCGGGGGAGGCTTGGCCCCTGGCTCTCCCTGAGCCTGCGCACTAATTGGCCCTAACTCGCAAGGCGCTCACCTGCGGCGCTTCGCGGAGCGCTGGCCACGCAGAGTGGACGACCCTGTACACCACTCATGTTTGTATACCTTTCCAAAGAGAAACTCGCATGACAAAGACATAGTTAATGTGTCCAAAAAAGCAATCGCATTTTATTACCTTCACAACATACATGACGGATTCACATATCTTTAGTGCCTTTCAAAGATCACATGGCACTATTGACACTTTGTCAATCAACGAAGGAATCAATACTTCAACATTTCTAACATCGCCGACAATCTGTGCTATTCCATGAAGCAGAGCTGTAAAAATGCTAACGCTACAACAGTAATCACAACAAGAAAACTCGTAATATGCAGCAAAGCTAACCAAGGGTGCAGTAATGACCCAGGGCTCACCTCAACCATCAGAATCTCCCTTTTCCCAGACACTGGCAACGCCACACAAAGGCAGGCATGGGTGGGTACTAACCCACGGATTCCTCTTTGTCTGGCCCCTATCCTCTGGCCTGTCCGGCATGGGTGACCCTGGCCGGCATAGCCCAAGAGGGTCATTAGGGCACACAAACCCCTCTGTGGCGGTCCACCGGCCTACCGGGCAGCGGATGAAAGACGACGACGTTACTCGTCGATACGAGCCCGGTGGCACGAGAGAATAAACAGAACGTTTTCACCTAAGCTCGGAGTCGGTCGCACCATCTCTTCCGTCTACAACATGGAACGCGCTACAAATTGGTGACCCGGACGTGATGATCGGCTCCGAGCACCTGCCATCCAGGGGAACGTTCTCCGCGGCACGGGACACGGCAGCGGCTTGGGATTTGGACGATTATGCGGGAACACATCTTCCTCGGCCCCCGCATCCGGATCCTCCGACACTGCCTCCGCCCCGTCGCGTCTGCCGCCGGCATCTCCCAGCAACGGGCTGCGACCACCTCGCTCACCCCGCCGGCACGGCAAGTCTACGTTCTTTGGCATTTCCACCACTGCCGCAGCCCCTGGTGTCACCCCGGCAGTCGTGCCCATCTGCGTGGTGTGGTGCTGGCCTGGCACGGTCGCGTGCTGCCACAACATGTGGGGCGTGCCGCACCGCGCCACGCTGGGGCATGGCAAGTCACGGCGGACCATACTGTTCTTGGCAAGACACTTCGCTAACCGACCAGGGCCTCTTTATCGCTGGTCATGCATTTCCCTCCGCTCGGTGCGTCACCTCCAGGGATGACGCTGTATCGGTCCCACAGCTGACCGCCATGTCCCTTGGAGCCCGAGCTGCGACGGAGCCCACTCCACATTGGCTGCACAGCACGAACGCATCGCTGTGCCCTTTCTCTGCTGCCGCATTGCTCCAATAAGCCTGACTTCAGCGTCAAGTCCCTGCGTGGTTTGCGCAGGCTGTCTTCTGCACCACTCTCTGCCACGTCGTCCGGCTCGTATCACTAGCCAACGGCAACAGCCCAACTCACTTGCTGCTGCCGCAACCACTCAATCGCTCCGTCCCCTACAGCCTGCATAGCTGCAGGCGACGGCTCTAGGGGGGGAGCTCTGTGGCGGTCCACCGGCCTACCGGGCAGCGGATGAAAGACGACGACGTTACTCGTCGATACGAGCCCGGTGGCACGAGAGAATAAACAGAACGTTTTCACCTAAGCTCGGAGTCGGTCGCACCATCTCTTCCGTCTACAACATGGAACGCGCTACACCCTCCACCACAGTAAGGTGGGAATCCGCTTGAGGAGGGGAGGGGGGGGGGGGTGCAGGCAAGTGAAAAAATATCTGCAATGTGGCTATAACTTTACGTACATTGTTTTACTGACTTCTGTCTTCGTTTATTTTATTGTTATGCTGTTGTGGTCCTGCTATGAAAGTTTGATAATAATTCTTCCTTGGTTTTCCTTTTGTTGCGAATAGATCACAGCCCTTCCCTTGGAAGTTTGCACCAAAGAGGAAAAACGAGCAGGGTTCCGGTTTATGTGGTCGGAAGGTGTGGACGCTCAATTCATAGACACTCCGTTGAGCGAGACACTGGTTCTCTGCTCGCTTTTCCTCTTTGGTGCAAACTTCCAAGGGAGGGGCCATGATCTATTTGCAGCAAAGAGAAAACAAATGAATTATGGTCAAACTTTCATAGCAGAACCACAACGGCATAACAATAAAATAAACGAAGACAGAAGTCAGTAAAAACAATGTACGAAACGTTATAGCCACATTGCAGATACGTTTTGACTTACCCTCATATGTTTGAGCCCCCAGAGTGGCTTTCAGTGACTGTGCCGAAAGCCAGAATATGAAGTGTCGGGAAACCGGCCCCTGATGGCCTTCACCACACAGGATGGCAGTGGTCGCCTGTTGTGCTGGCCAAGGCGCCGCCACAGCCACAGGACGCACTGCCGGTAGGCGGCGTAGCGGTTGCGCCTGAAAGAATAACCACAATAATTTTCTGTAAGACGCAATATCACAACCTTTTAAAATTGCAGATTCTGGGCTCTACCAGCAGAAACAAAAAAAAAGTGCTGCAACGGGCCCTCATGCCTGGGCAGCAACCGATCTAAAATAACCCGAAGAGCAGAGCAAGTTCTAGATTGTGTCCATTATTCTTTCCACAAATTCAATTGACAGGTGTGAACATTATATTAGGTTGTTCCAACAGACCAGATGACCAAAGCCTAACATGCACAACAATATGCATGTCACAAACCCTAAAATATGCGGCAGCACTGTCCATGCTGACTCGATCGAACTACTGCATCTCTTTGTGGCAAAGAGATGCAGTAGTTCACGCCAAAGAGACGGGGCATTGCTTTTATCATAATTGCTTGCACGCTATCAATAACGTTTGGATAATTCAGAGAGGGAATTCAATGAAGCTGAGGGAAATTAGCTTTTTTGTTGTTTTTTATCTAGTGTTCAAAGTCTCGACGCACCATTTCGTCTGGAAGCTGCACCTGCCGGAGTGGAATCAAGGGGCAATGATCAAGGGGCACATTCCGCCGTGATCAGCTTTTTTAACGACACAATTGCAAGCCCGTCGCTACTACCGAGGAGAAAATGGCCATATCAAAACTTCAAAGGCATCCCACGGGGGTCTCGAGTGGCGCAGCAGTCAGAGGCGAAACTTGAGCGCACTACTCCAATGGGTGTGAACGCTGCGTTCAGTAGTGTACCCTGAACGTAGCGTTTATGCATGTTGTGCCAACGTTTGTTGCAAAAGTTACGCCCGTTAGGTCCATAATGTGAACGTAATATTAGTGATAGGACGAATCACCGGAGATTTGGATTCGGACAGATTCATCAGATTCGTCGCTGGTTGCAGACGGCAGTGTGAAAATAGTCGTAAACTTCGCCAATGTGGACAGTTGTGCTTTTCTTAGGTACTGTTACTGCATATAACCAGATTTCGTCTTGCTTATTTCAACATATGGTATGTACTAAACTGTCGTTCTAAACCCTGGCAGGCGCCAAGGTCCAGCTGAGCTGATCGGTGTGGTTGACGTGGGCCTAACCAATGCACGGTTTCGCTTCCTGTGCGGTTTTGCGGTGATCGGTAAGATGTAGCAAAATGAGGAGTATTATACATAATGTGATGCAACGTACAAGAAATATATATTCAGGCAAGGAAATGATTTGTCTCCTTCTCTAGAGCTGCGTATGTCTGCACCTATAAGGCGCGAAAACTAGATGAATGTTGCTCGTCACAACTTCGACCGCGTACCGGCACCGGTGGCGAAGAAAAACGTTGCACTGTCGTTTCTCCGTTCTCGTCAGCGAGTTTTTTTATACGTAAACTTTATTTGACGAAAAAAAAAACACAACACAGGGGTGTCCAAC